GGATGGATGGATGGATGGATGGATGGATGGATGGATGGATGGATGGACAGACGGACAGACAGACAGACAGAAAGATAGACAGATGGATAGATGGATGGCTACGCAGGAAGATGGGAGGGTGGGTGGATGGACAAACAGACAGATAAATACAGACAGACAGATAGATAGATAGATAAATAGACAGGTAGATAGACAGATAGGTAGATAGGTACATGAGCTGCTTTTCAAAGGAAAAGAAAGATTCTATGAAGTGGAAGGGAAAAGGGAGGGTGTTCCAGGCATGGGGCCCAGCCAGGACAAAGGCATAGAGTTGGGAAGCAGTACCAAATATGAGGACTTCATATATGAAGCCCAGTTTAGTGGGATCAGAGTACAGAAGGGGGAGTAATGAGAACGAGGGAAGGAAAAGGGAATAAAAATATACAGCCTACTCTGTACCAGACACCGGACAAGCATTTCCGTTAAACAGACATTATCTTATTTGATTCTCACAACAACTGTGCAGGTAGGTGCCATTTTACCACTGAGGAAACTGAGGCAAACAGAAATTAAGAGACTTGATCAGAGCCACACAGCTAGTAGGTGTCTGAGGCTGAATTTGAACTTGGGGCCTCCTAAGCCCAGGCCCAGGGCTCTATGTACTGCGGCACCAGCTGCCTCAGTCATGCACGATGAGTCTAGAGAGGCCTTAATAAGCCAAATGGAGTTGACACTTTATCCTAGAGGGAGGAGGGGACACAGCAGAGGTGCCTGAGCAGGAGAGTGCCGCGGGCAGATCCACGCTGGCAGCTGAGCAGCGGAGGGAAAGGAGAGGGGAAGATGAGGCAGGAAGACAGCTGGGAGGCTGCTGCCACGGGAGAGGGAGAAGGAAGCTGGATGTTGGCTGTGTCAACCCAGAGAAGAGAGCAGATGGGAGAGATGGGGTGAAGGCAAGAAGGACGAAATCTGGCCAGTGATTTGAGGTGGGGGGGGGGAGTGAGGAAGGGCACTGAGGCTGGGAGTCTGGAAGGATAGTGGCATCCTCAGCAGCGATAAACTGGGAAGAGCGGAGGGTTGAGAGAAAAGAGAGCTTTTCTGTTTGGGGCAGGTTGAGTTAGGGAGGCTAGCTGCTAAAACCTGGAATGAGGAGACCCACGACCTGCCCCAGGAGTTCTCTCACTGCTTTTTGATGAGGCCTTGGTCAAGGGTAAGCGATGTGGTGTAATGGACAGCGAGCGTGCTGTGTGACCCTGGGAAGATCGCTTAACCTCTCTGTGCTCTAGGCAGTTATCTAAGACTCTCAATGCCTTCACAGAAGGAGTTTCCTGGATCAATCTCTTGGGCAAGTTATATCCACTTTCCTCTGTAAAATGGGGAGGTTGAACTAGTGGAAAGGGGCATCCTGGTCTTAGAACTGGAAGACAGTTTGGGTCCAGGACCCAGCTTAGACACTACTAGCTATGAGACCCTAGACAAGTCAGTTACCTTCCCAGCATCTCAGTAGCGTCATCTGCAAAATTCTGTCATCACAGTACCCTGCACCACTAGGGGTATTGCTTTGAGGAATGTAATTTAAATATGTAACAGACTCTGTTATGGTGGGGGTGGGGGAGGGGAGCACTAAGTTGTTCGATGTTACAGGACATAGGTTCAAATCAGGCCCATATCACCTTCTAATGGGCCTCATCTCCACCTCTTAGTTCCCCCTCCCTCTTCCTTCAAGACCCAGTTCAAACCCCACCTTCTACAGGAGGCCTTCCATGCCCCACCCCCACCCCAGCTATGGCCTTCCCTTCTGGGGTTCCCTTCCACCCACTCTCCATATCTCTTCTGTGCTCCTGATTACATACCTGTTGTCTCCCCCGTTAGACTATGAGCCCCCTGAAGGCAGGGACTGTGTTTTACCTTTCTTTATGTCCCTAATACTTAACACAATGCTTGGCACAGAATAAGCACTTAAAACATGCTGGCTGGCTGGCTGACTTTAGCTCTCAGCTCTAGTTTCCTCATGTAAAATGACAGGACTATACTACATTATTTTTAAGGTCCCATCTAAGAGTGTTTGGGTTTTTTTTTTTAGTTAAAAAAGCAAAAAAAAGGAAGATCTGAGTGATCAGGAAAACAGCTATAACAAAGCCCATGCACTTTTCTCCATAGGAGAGGGGCAGAGTCTATTATGCATAAAATGTAACACTCTTAATTCTCTGGTTTTCCCTAGCAACCTCCAGTCCCCTAACTTACAATACTCTAGATTAAAGGCACTGAGAGAGGCTGCCTGTTTGAAAGAGTCCTATCCAGGGCAGCAAGCACTGGCAGCTGATGGCTAAGGAGGAGACAGAAGAAACCTCAACAACAACAAAAGCCCAGCAGGCAGGAGCCATTCATTGTGGCCATAAATGGATGTACAAAGACCCACACAGCCGTGCTGGTCAATAACTCAGATACAGCTGTGCTGGTCAACAGCTCCCACAGCCCGGGAAGAGTCATTATATTAAGGTCTATAGTATAACTATGGACATTCAGAGGGATGACTCTGAATCATCAAGAAAAGGTTAAAATCTATGTTCCATATAATCTGTCTACTAAGGCAGGGAAGCGAATAAACATTTTTAAAAGATTTCCATAAGACATGGTTGAAACTTTCAATATTTCTTCATCGGAAGCTTTGGTTATTGTGAAGTTTCACTTCTATGGAATACCTCGTGCCCCTCAGAAGCTAGATCAATGACAGTGCTGCAAAGGAGCTTTTGACTGGCATGCCTGTATGCACCTGCACAGACCCGCTGTCAAAAAAAACACTCGCCTTAGAACCAGCTGCTTCACTTACTGCGTGACTTTGAACAAGTCCCCTCCTCTGGACTTTAGTTAAATAATCGTCCTCGTGTTGGACTGGATTATCTCAGGGGGTCCTTCCCAGCTGTGACAGACATTCTGTGAGTCCACAGGAGGCAGAGAAAGATAGCGCTCTGGCTGTTACCAGATGATAAGAAGTCATATTTCTATAACCCTTTAAGGTTTAGCAGGGGTGGGGAACCTGGGGCCTTGAGGCCACATGCAGCCCTCTAGGTCCTCAAGTGTGGCCCTCTGACTGAATCCAAACTTCACAGAACAGTTCTCCACCCCTGGTTTATGGTATATGTACTTCCCTTACAATTGTCCTTTGGAAAAGAGGGCGCAAGTTCGATTATTACCAAACAGAGACTGAGAGAGAAGGTAAGTGATTAGCCCAAGGTCACACAGACATTAAAGTGGCAGGATTTTAATTCAAGTCTCCTGACTCCAAACCCTTTTGGACTAATGCAAGTAGCTTCTCATCTAGAATGAATCAAACAACAAATCTAGAAACCTTCTAGATTTCACTAGCAGAATGTCTGAGTGGGGAGGGACTTCAAATACCACCCTTCCTTACTCTGCCACTTACAACTACCTGTGTGATCTTAGGCAAATCACTTTCCCTTTCTGGGCATCAGTTTCCTCATCTATAAAAAGTACTAGAAGGCTTCTGAGGTCTGTCCCAGATCAGGATCTAGGACCCCATGATCATCTTATAGAACCAGAATCTGAACTGGGATCTCCTCCATGAAATCTCTGACAAATATTTGAATACCTCCAGTGACAAAGAGCTCACCACCTAACGAGACAGTCCATTGACTCTGGGACAGCTCTGAGTGTCAGGAAGCTTTGCCCAATACCTGGTTCTGCCTTCTGGGCCTAAGAAGAACAAGGCTAACATCTCCTTGTGACCACCCTTCAAGGGCCTGAAGACAGCTTGGATCCTCGCTGAGCCTTCAAACGGAATGTCAGTGGCGTAGCTTCCAGTCTCCTGCCTCTATACACTCGTCAGTCTATCGGTGTTCTTCCTAAAACGTATTATTCTGAATGGACTCAAATACTCAAGATGTGGGACGACAAGGAAAGAGAAGGACAGCACTCTCAGCTCCATCCTTCCGGACTCTTGTTCTTTTTAATACAGCCTAAGATCAAATTCACTTGCCAGACTGTCTGTATGATCAATAAACTGCTGACTCATACGGAACTTGGGGTCCACTGGGACTCCCATCTCTCTCTCTCTCTCTCTCTCTCTCTCTCTCTCTCTCTCTCTCTCTCCCTCCCTCCCTCCCTCTCTCTCAGCAACAGGGGTTAAGTGACTTGCCCAGGGTCACACAGCTAGCAAGTGTCTAAGGCCAAATTTGAACTCAGGTCTTCCCGACTCCAGGGTCGTTGCTCTAGCCACTGCACCACCTAGCCGCCCCATCTCCCATCTCTTTTTCACAAGAATGCCGTCTACCCTTTCCTCCCTACCATGTACCTGGGCTGGAGTCAAAGCATTCTTTGAATCCAACCAGAACAGGATTGATGAATGCCCTTGTGACAGGACCCGTACAGTGTCAGTTTACAATAAGACGGTTGAGACCTTGTAGCCAAATCTCTCTTACATCCCTCAGCTCATCATCTGTTTATAGCATCTTTACGGCACTCACTGCCCCTATAACACTGTTTCACCTAAAGTCCTATTTTCTTGAAACCAGCTAATGCTCAGTAGGCTCCCCCCTCCCCACACAGCCACACGGCAAGAAGCAGATGTCCTCAGCTTTACGTTCCTCACTGGTCTCTAATCATTCCACAGTTGCCAAAAAAGGGCAAGGATCAGTTATTCAATCAACAAGCCCCCCTGGCCCGGCCTGGCCTTCCTCCCCCTTCCAACCCCCAGCCCCAGCCACCATCTCTGTCCAGGCAGAGGGACCAGTAGCCCCGAGACCTACCCAGCCATCACAATGAAGAAATCCAGCCGATTCCAGGTGTCCCCCAGGTAACACTTCCTTCCGAAAATCCCCAGGGCCACCATCTTCAGCACCATCTCCATGGCAAAGAAGATGAAGATGAAGTCATCAAATACCTGCAGGGGTGAAGGGTGACAGGGAGGAGACAATCAGGGGAGAGGCGTGAGTGAAGGTCAGAGCAGCCCCAGCCCAGAAGATGGAGAGTGGAGCAGGGTGGGAAGCCCCGGGAGGAACCAGGGCCAACCACAGCAGCCCTCTGCCTGCTTAGGCTCCCGGCCTGTGCTTTCCTCACTCTCGGGGGAAAGGCAGCAATCACTAACTCCAGGATTCTGCAGGGCTGAGGTCAGTCTGCCTGGGGTCCATGCTTCTGCCTCATGCCAGAACATCCCCTGCCCCTATTCCCTGCCCATCCTGGGCCCCGGCACTGTGCTCCTCAGGCCTGCGCACCGTGCCAGGCTCACAGGGTCCTGCATTCCCAGCTACAAGACTGTAACTTCCTTGAGGGCAGGGAGCAGGTCACTCCTCATCTTTGTATATCCCCAGTAAGAACCCCAGGCTCCTGAAGTGCTTGGGGATGAGGCAGTCAAATTGGGTGGCCTCTACATCTAGCCCCTTACAGATCAAGTCTCTGATCCTATGATCCTGCCTATGTGACCTTGGACAAGTCACTTAACTGTCCTGGGTCTTAGTTTCTCCAACTGTAAAGTGAGAAGATCACCTCTGAAGTCCCTTGCAGCTCCAGATCTAAGGTCCCATTACCTGTCATATCATTCCAGTACCCAGTGCAGGTCTATGCGCACAGTAGGTGCTTAATAACTATTGAATTGAATTGAACAGTTTGTTTACTGCTAGAAAGGAGACAGGTTTTCTTAATCCCTTAATCTGTCCCCTCCTTCTGACCTCCCGCCTAGCACAGGAGTGTTGCTGTTCAGTCGTTTTCAGTCACATCCAACTCTTCATGACCCCATCCGGGGTGGTTTCCCATTTCCTTCTCCAGCTCATTTTACAGATGAGGAAACTGAGGCAAACAGGGTTCAGTGACCTGCCCAGGGTCACCCAGTTTGTAAGTGTCTAAGGTCAAATTTGAACTCAGGTCTTCCTGACTCCAGGCCACTGGGCCACCAAGCTGCCCTTAAGCACAGGCTTAGAGCTCTTTAAATATAAGTGAGTGATGAGGAAGTGGGCTTATCTCCCACCCTAGCCTCCCCTCCCCCGATAAAGTCCTGTTGCCCTGTGTAGGTGGGACACCCGCGCCATGCCCTGGTTCTGTGGCCCAGCATCCAGTGATCAAGCAAGCCTGGGAGGTCAACTTTACCTGCAGGATCTTGCAGCGGTCAGACAGACAGTCCATGTCGTCACATGGCTGGTACATGCCCAGGGTGACACAGTTGAGAAGAATCACCAGCATGCTGACACACTCAAACCACGTGCAGAGGGCGCAACGTCAAGGAAGACATAGTTGGAACGGACCCTTGGACATTACAGAGTCCTCTCCCCCATGCCCGGGGCTTAGGAGCCCTCCTACCCAGTCTAAATACTTCTTTAGCCCCCATCCCTGGGATTAGGACCATTGAAAGTGGAAAACAGTCAGGCAGAAATTTGGTTTAGACAAGTATCTTACAGCACTTACTAAAATGAGCTCCACATGGCGACATGACCTAAAAATAAAAAGTTTTATCACAAAAATTACAGAACAAAAACATGACCTACTCAAAATGATGAAAAATAAGGGATAAAGTTGATCCTAAAAGACAAGGGAGACAGTTTTAATTAGACATAATTAAAGGCCTTTCCCAGAACAGAATCAAAGCAGATAGAATCAAAAAAATGTTGGAGAAAAAAACCCTTTGCATCAAATCTCACAGATATAACACTGATATTCAAGAAATGCAGGGAGTTGATATAAATACATGTGACATGGAGTCATGCTCTAATACAGAAATTGTCAAAGGATATGAATGCTTTTCAAAAGAACCACAAATTATAAATGATTGTATGAAAACATCTCACATACCTAATAAGGAGAAAATAGCAATGGAAAAGGCTTTTTAATTCAGGGGATCTTGGGCTCTAAAGGACAGATGGGCCTTCGAGATCACCTAGTTCCAACTCCTCCTTTTACAAATGGGGAAAAAGGAAGACCAGAGAGGGCAAAAGACTTGCCCCAAGCGATAGAGAACTAAGTACTGCTGTTCAGTCGTTTCAACTGCATCTGACTCTCTGTGACCGCATCTGGGCTTTTCTTGGCAAAGATCCCAGAGTGGTTTGCCATATTCTCCTCCAGCTCATTTTACAGATGAGGAAACTGAGGCAAATAGGGTGAAGTGACCTGCCTAGGGCCATACAACTATTAAGAGTGTGAGGTCAGATTGGAACTCAAGTCTTCCTGACTCCAGGCCTGAGACTCTGTCCACTGAGCCACCTAGCTTCCCACAGTAGTAAGTAGGACCATAGATTTCAAGACAGAAAGGACCTTCAAGGCTAACTAGCCCAATCCCCTCATTTTACAGATAAGGAAGCTAAAGCCCAGAGAGGCAAAGGCCCAAGACCACACTATCATGGAGACAGGATTTGAACCCAAGACCTCTGACTCTAGGGCTCTTCTCAATGTATAATGGTGGGACTTGAAGCCGGGCCTCTGGCTCTTCCCGCTGCACTGAGTGGAGCGAACGCCGCAGGGCTCGTCCCTAGGCACACATTTTAGAGGCCCACAGTGCCAGTGAATTCCATCCATCTTCCTCCATAGACATGTCCTTGGCCTGGGGCACGTGGGAGAGGCACTTGGCTTTCAGGGCATCTGGGCTTTGGGCTCCTCCACTGACTCCTGCCTGCGTTAGTCAGCTACCTCCCCACCTGTACCGTAGATAAGCCCTGCACGAGAGAGCCCTCCATTACGGCCCTCTGCAGCCCGAGTGCTCTCGGTGGGTCCCTGACTGCTGCAGGGCCCAGGAATCCTCCATGCCTCACCCTGCTCTGCGAGGGCAGAGGCAGCAAAGACGCAATCCTGGTCAGACCCCACCAGGACCATCGGATTCAGTGAGGCGGACAAGAGGAGTGAATGGTTCCAGAGGGGCAGACCTGGATTCCAGGTCGCTGACTGAATTCTGTCTTGCCTCCTGCCTCTAGGTCCCTTCCAACTCTGTTACTGCATGAGCCTAAGATATGGAGGCCACTTCATGCACAGCTAGGAAGGCATTGGGACAGAATGACGACAGCTCTGGCCTCGGGGGAGAAAAGGCCTGGCTCTAAAATCCTGGATCTACCATGTTGTATGATCTTGGCCAAGTCACCTTCATTCCTCTGAGCTCTGGTTTCTTATCTAAAAAATGGTGGCTGGGGCAGCTAGGTGGTACAGTGAATAGAGTCAGGAAGACCTTAGTTCAAATTCAGCCTCAGACACTTGACACTAGTTGTGTGACCTTGGGCAAGTCACTTAACCCCGACTGCCTCACTTAAAAAAAAAACCAAAAATGGTGGCAATGATGCCGATAAATGTTGACAATGAATAATGCCCACCTCATGGGAGTGATTGAGGTCTAAAGAAGGTAATGGGAATGAAAAGGAGATGTCAGTAAGTCTCTGTAATCACTGGGATATGATCACTGTCTTCAGATATTGAGCAAACCACCACTCTCTTCCCTGGATCTCATTTTCCCCCTTTGTAAAATGAGGGGGGTGGGGCTAGATCACCTCCAAGGGTCTTCCTGACTCTCTGATGGTCTCTATTTGGCGACTGAGCTGTGCAGAATGTGTAGTCTCAGGACCTGAATTCTAATCCCAACTGTGTGACTTTAGGCAAGCCATTTCTCCTTCTCTGGGCCTCAGTTTACATAGGAGAATCTATAAACTGTGGGGTTTGGACTAGATGCCCTGTGTCGGTGCCTCTCTCCGGGTCACTCTACCTTTCTCTGGGCCTCTTTTTGTCTCCCTATCTCTCTGGTTATCTTTGGATCTTTCCCTGGGACTCTCTTTGTCTCTATCTCACTCTCCTTGTCGGTATCTCTGTATTTCTGTATTTCTGTATTTCTCTCTCTCTCTCTCTCTCTCTCTCTCTCTCTCTCTCTCTCTCTCTCTCTCCACCTCAGTCTCTGCATCCCTCTGCATTGATCTCTGTCTCACTTCCTCCCTGCCTCAGTCTCCCTCCATCCTTTCGTTTTCCTCTGTCTCTGGGCCTCTTGACTCTAGCCTCCCCACCCCACCCTCATTTCTCTTTTTCTGCCTGGTTTGAAAGCATCACCAAAGTCAAAAGCAGCTCAAAGGCACCACAGGCCAGTGCCCACTAATCGCCAGCCCAGGGCTACAGGGGCGGGGATGAATGAGGGCCAAGGAGAATGAGCCTGGCCTGCCTTGCTGGGTAATGAGCACCGAGTGCGTGTGTGGGAGGACGGGAGCAGTGGCTGGCCCTGAGCTCCCTCCAAGTCTGTCTCCTGCAGTCCTGTACCTGCCAGCCTCAGGCGCTAACTCTCTTTCTCTGTTTTCCCATAAGCACTAACTCCCCCCTCCCCTCCAATGCTGGACACTATCCGCTTCAGTATTCCACAGCCAGGAGCTAATTAAACACGGTATAAACATTTGCTTTTATGACGCAGGGAAGACTAGTGCCTTAACTTTGCCAAAAGCCTTCCCTGGACTGGATTGGACTGGGCTGGATTCCATCCTGCGGGGTGAGAGGACCATGGGTTAGCTGAGGCGGGACAGCTATTGCTACCAGCGATTGGCCAAAGAAGCCTTCCCTCTACCCAAAAAGTCAGCTAAGGATTTGCCCCAAATGGAGGCCAATTCAATTAAATTAGTCCACAATCATTTATTAAGCACCTACTGTGTGTCAGGCAGTGTGGTAAGCACTAGGGACACAGGGACAAAAGTTAAACACATATTCATATACATATATTCCATGGAGACCACAACAAGCATTGATTAAGCACCTACTGTGTGCAGGGCACCGTTGCTCCTGCCAGGAGAGAAGGGCAGTTTAGCTAAGACCTAGCCTCATGGTGGGAAATGAGATCAAGGCAGATGATTACATAGATAATTATAACAAGCACCATGGAGAAGTTGAGGGAGGCTGGTATTAATCGAAGAAATCAGGGAAGGCTTCCTGGAGAAGGCAGCAACGGAGCTGGGCTTTAAAGGATGCACGAGAGTCCAAAAGGGAGAGGAGAGACGGCACACGCAAGGCCAGGGGGGCAATGTCTCAGCCAAGTCAGACCCATTCCCCTGGATGCCAGGCCCCTAGACAGCTCTAAGACAAGGAAACCCATATGGAAAAGTAGAATCAGGGCCAGGGAGTCCGAACCTATCCTTTTACAGATGAGGAAACTGAGGCACAAAGTTACTGAGGGTTAGAGATGCTAAATCACTTGCTTGGGGCCAAACAGCTAGCAAACACCTGAGGGGGGATTTGAACACAGGCCCTCGAGCTAGGTGGCATGGTGGGTAGAGCGCAGGGCCTGGAGTCAGGAAGACTCATCTTCCTGAGTTTAAATCCAGCCTCAGACAGTAGCTGTATGACCCCGGGCAAGTCACTTAGCCTTTTTGCCTCAGTTTCCTCATCTGTAAAATGAGCTGGAAAAGGAAATGGCAAACCATTCTAGTATCTTTGCCAAGAAAACCCCAGATGGGGTCATGAAGAAGAATTGGACATATCCGAACAAGACCCTGGGCAAGTCACTTAACCTGTTTGCCTCAGTTTCCTCATCTACAAAATGAGCTAGAGAAGAAAATGGCAAACTACTCCAGTATCTCTGCCAAGAAATCCTCAAATGGGGTCACAAAGAATCAGACATGACTGAACAACAACAAAAACTCTAACTCCAAAGATAATGTCCCAGCCCTCCTGTCTCCTGGGACCCCCAGACTTGCCCACTCAATTCCCACGGTGACATGCTCTACTCTCTGACATTCTCATTTCTAAGGCTCTAATCAGCTCTGCCATTCTCTGGTCTGTAGCTTAAGGTTCCTGCCTGCTCTGACATTCTCTGTTCTCCCAACTCTGACATTCCAGGATTCAGAGCTCTGGGGATGACGCAGTTGCAATATCTCAGCACCACATGCTGTCCATAAGAATGGGTCTGACTGCCAGGCAGGGAGGAAGCCCTCAGACACTTAGGATTTAGAGCTGGGAAGGGGCTTAAGACAGTGAGCGTCAGAACTGGGGGGGGGGGGGGCAGAGACCACCAAAGTCCAATGCCCTCGTTCTGCAGAGGAGGAAACTGAGGCAGGCCTTCAGTATGCAGCTGGATGCCTCACCGGTCAGGGATGCCTCGTGGGAAGGATTCCTTCACTAGGTTGGAAGGATGGCCTGGGATGACTTTGAGAGCACCTTTCAACTCCAGAGTTGCTGGTTTCTCTGTTCTCTGGGGGAATGTCACACCTGACTTCAAGGTTTCTAGAAAGATCTCAGAACCTCAACCCAGGACTGTCTCAC